ACTGTCCCCTTTTTCTTTATGGAAGAAATAGGAGCATTTCAGTGACTGCCAGGTAACTGACTCCCTCAGAGTGGAAGAGAAGTGTAAGAATCAATACAGTTTTCTCTGGGGCACAGTAGAGACCACAGGGCACTTGGGAACAAAGAATTTGGTCAGAAAAATCATTATTAAATTGGAAAACGATACTCCTCACACCACAACTCCCAGCAGACCAAGCCCGACTACGGTATTGGGGTGAGGCCATTGTCCCCAGCTCTTGATGTGTGCCTATTCCTCTTCATTCTCTTCCTCCACCTTTTTAGATTTAGCTTCCAAGCCAGCCTGTTGGAAACCAGTGATGTAGTTGTAAGCAGGTTACCTCCTCTGCCTGGGACTCAAGTTCCCTCCAATAAAATCAGAATTGAATTAGATGAGGGTTCTTAATTTACTCTTTTTGTGCCATGGATCTCTTTGGCACTCTAGAGTATTCTCGGGATGTTTTTTTCTAATTCCCACAATAAAGTATGTAATATCGTAAAGAGGGTCAATTATATGGAAACATGATTATCAAAATAGGTATGAAAACACAAAAATTGGATATTATAAGATATAATCTTCTATAATGATGCACTAAATAACATGATCTAGCAGTAAGTCTAATGATAACTATAATTTCAAAGCACTGATGCATATAAATGATATTTTGAATTACCTGATACCATTGAAATAAGATTTGAGAACATCTATTGGTGACAAATTCAAAGCTAATGGTACTAATACTACAAAGTTTGTTGTCTCAAGCATAATCAAGGGAAATTCTAAATTTCAGTTGGTAAAAATAAAGATGTAATTTTTTTCCTGTCCAAATTCATGGATCCCCTGAATCTAGCTGACAGGTCTGTGGACCACAAGCTAACTTCTGGACTAGGAATCAACTAAGTAGTTTCTGACTCTGACATAGTTGGATTTCATAGGATTGTCTAAATGAGACAGGCAGACAGAATACGGGTCACCTCTAAGAACAGCATACTACAGGAACACAGCCATATCAATGCTTATAGCAGCACAATTCACAATAGCTAAATTGTGGAACCAACCCAGATGCCCTTCAGTAAGTAGGATGAATGGATAGGGAAACTTTGGTATAGATACACAATGGAACATTACTCAGTATGAAAATAAAATCATGGCATTTGTAGGTAAATAGATGGAGTTGGAGAATATAATGCTAAGTGAAGTTAGCCAATCCCCAAAAAAACAAAGGTCGAATATTTTCTTTGATATGAGGATGCTGACTCATAATGGTGATGTGGGGTGGGGAGAGCATGGGAGAAATGAAGGAACTTCAGATAGGGCAAAGGGGAGGAAGAGAAGGGAGTAGGAATGATGGTGGAATGAGTTAGACATCATTACCCTAAGTACACGTGTGAAGACACGAATGGTGTGAGAATTCTTTGTGTACAACCAGTGATTTGAAAAATTGTGCTCTGTATGTGTAATATGAAATGAATTGCATTCTGCCATCATATATAACAAATTAGAATAAATAATTTTAAAAAAGAATAGGAAAATGGAGCAAAATTTTACAATCTTAAAAGCTGGCACGAGAGTGTCTCTGGTAGAAACACTAGAACTGGGAGTTGGGGGCAAGGAGATCACAGAGGATACTAGTGAACAGCAAGGAGACTGGAGCCTGAGGGGATGGAAATTCAATGAGAGATTGGTCTAAGAGAAAATAAGAGAAGGTGCTGAGTTCTCCCTCTACTTCTGCTGAAGAAAGGAGACGCTGTGGCCCAGTGAGGTGCTCAGCAAGTCTGAGCCAAAGAGGTCATAAGAACACACGTGTGGGCTCGGGGTGTGGCTCAGTGGTAGGGTGCTTGCCTCACATACACGTGCCCTGAAGAGGGTCCTCAAGCAGCTACTCCCTAGTTAGCGGGCCTATCTAGTGACCTGCCCTCTCTCTGTGCCTCCTGGCCTGAGCCCCCCCTCTGAAGACACTTCAGCAATGTGAAGACTGAAGTCTGAGCCCTCCTGTTTTCCTTCCTTCCTGTTCCTTCTCCAGACTGGTGGCCAGTCGGCCACAGTGGTTGTCCTTTGGAGACCCTCCATTTATCAGTGTTCCTCTTAATATAGAGTGTCTAGAGCTGAGGTCGGAGGGCAGGACAGGGCCAGGGCCATGGGACTGTTGCTTCCTTTCATCTGTACCTCCAGCTGCTGTCCCTGTGGACATTACTCGAGCTCATCCTGAGCTGGCCTGCTGCACTTGACCATGAGAAAGGGCTAGCCCCTGAGGACAGATTAAAGCCTCTAGAACCCCTAGAATCACTATGATCTCTTCTCCACCAGCATGTAATGAAAAATAAAAATAACAAATCGCTAAAGAAGTACAAAGAAGTAGAATAAAGTTCTGCCTTCTCTCAACAGTTATTTTTGTATGATTTTTGAAATGTCAAGCACCAATTTTTAAAACTTTTATTATAAAATACTTCAGAAACCCAAAAGGTATATTAAGATCATTAAAAACAAATCAAAAGGGCAGGGGATGTAGGGTAGAGAGTTTGCCTAGGATCCTCAAGGCCCCACGAAACAAAACAAACAAAAACATACAAGTATACACTTTCCACTCAGCTTAAGAAATAAAATATTTTGATATGGTTTGTTAGTGTTGCTTTCCAAGAAAAAAATACCTGTTTTACTGGAACTTGGAGCCAATAGTTCTCAAATTTGTCACACTTTAGAGTCTCCTAAAACTTTAAAAAATCCTTACACCCAGTTTCCATACAAACCAACACAATCAGAGCCACTAGGAGTAAATATCAATATTTCAAAAACTCAAAGAAATTCTATTCCAATGTGCAGCCAACTTTCAGAGTCATACGTTAATGCCAGAGGTGGGGACAGAAGCAGGTGGAATGGAGTCCTGTAGATCTGGTGGCAGTGGGCTCTGTTTCCTGTCCTCTGACATTTTCTTAGGATTCTCTATGGATCCTCCCAGTTCTGAAACCAGCAGACCTTCCCACATTTTTGGGAAGAGACTGCCATCTGCTGGTCAGCTTGGGGAAAACGCAATAGCTGCATTCGATTGGTTGGGAAAGGACACTGAGAGAAGTATTATGGGTCACAGCACACAGTTTTTTGTTTGTTTGTTTTAATCGTTTTATTTTAATTAGGTATATATGACAGCAGAATGCATTTTGATTCGCTGAGGTACTGTAGGGCATTGCCCCACAGCAGCTCTGGAAGGAAGGCAGGGCCAGGTGAGTGGCGTCATTTTCACTTGGTAACTCTATGCAGAGGTGGGGAGGCATGGTACAAGTGGGGCTCCCAGGCATCTCCAGGCCCCCAAAAGGTTAAAAAAAATTAATTTTAAAAAGCAATGATTAGGGAAGGTAATAAAAGGATAAATGGATTTTTAAGATTTTTTTTTTAAAAAAGCTTTCATTCAGAAGGAGAAGGTAACAGAAGATAATAGACACCTGTCACCATTTATGGTAGAGATGGCATTCTCTGTTTGATCCAGAGATTGCATCATCAGCCCCTGTGGCAGTTCATTCCTGCAGGGACGTGTTTGCTGTTCTCTCTGTCTTGAACAGATCTTTCTTGCCCAACACTCGTCATCTCAGTAAATATTTGTTCATTACAGGTCTCAGTAAACTGCGACCTCAGCTCCACCAGGAAGCCTTGCTTGGATGTCCAAATCTCCTTCACCATGTGGTCACCTCCTGGCCCTCTGCTCTGGAACAACCTGTTTACTTGTTTAGTGCTTACTTAGCCTCACAAGATTCCAAACTCCATGAAGGCAGGGATATCATTACATCCCTAGCATCTATCCCAGTGCAAGAAACAGAGGGAAATATTGGTTCACGGAATTAGATTTTCTTATGGAATTTTGGAACATCAGACACTATAATTTGAAAACAAAGGAAAAGTACTTTGAAACCTATTTCCCCCCAACAATGAGGTCTCCCTAGAAGTAAACTGGAAATAGCTTCCTTTTCTACTTATATATCTATAAACACAACAGAGGAAGAAGGAGTGATCTTCTTTCTAGTTGGTATATAAGTTAACTTTCTATGCCACCTGTTTATGCTTCTAATCAGAAAACAAGCATAGTAGATAGGTACTATTTGGGATCTACCCAGCATCTATATCCATTCTTCCTTCACATAGTCATAGCATCCTAATTTTATTTTGGAGGGAAAAAAAAAATCTTGTACTGAGTCCAGATAATTCAGGAAAGCTGACACCATCCCCAGGCTCTGGTTTGGGTATGTGACTGGGCCTGGAAAAGTCACTGTATTCCAACAGCTAAGCACATGATTGGTTCACATGTGAGGACCCAAGCTGACCCAATGAGATTCAGCCCATTTTTGTTTGAACCATTGAGGTAAGAAGACCTGGGGTGCTGAGCTGGTAGCCATGTTGCCACCAGGAAGTGAAAAGTGGCCAGAGACTGAAGCCAAACAAAGGAAAGGAGGGACAACAGAAGAGAGACGGAGTCCTCAAGACAGACGTCCTTTCAATACCTGCACCCAACCCAGAACTTTTTCTGGACCTTCCTGATACATGAGCCTCCTTTTCCAGAAGTCAGTGTAAGGGAATTTTTGTTCCTGGAACTGAATAGGTCCTAGCTAACAGAGAAAGCAGAACAAAGAATGTGGCTTGTTTTCTCAGTTTAATTTTTAACACAATCAATACATCATTTGCAACACTTCCAACACATATCTATAGTAATAAGCTGTTCTACTATTCTAAAATTATTTGGCATGAGCTTAAAAGAGACACTTGATCACTTGATCCCAGGCTGGAGATCTAAGGTTTGGGGAGTTACAGAGTGACCTATTCCAGATTTTGTTGCCTCTGTCTCCTTTTCCTTCCCAGCACCCTCCCCACATGTCAGCCCTGCTCCCAGGAGAAGTGGCCATCTCTAGACAAGAAGGTCATAGAATGCAGGCCTCACAGCTGCCCCCACGCAGTCCGCTGAGCTCAGCCACCAGTCTCCATGCCGTCTCTACTCCTCCTCAGCTCGGTGAAGAATGGGCTGTTGTCAACAAGGCTGCAAACAATGACCCAGGCTGTTTCTGCAGGACCTCAGGCCTGTCAAACTCCACAACCTGGGGGGTGGAGAAAGGTGTGGAAGAGACAGGGCCACAGCTAAGCTCAGGGAAGGAGAATTCATAGGCCGTCTATAAAGCGGCCTGAGCAGGCATCCAGCCTCCCACCAGCCCAGGGATTGGGCTCTCACCTTCCCATTGCCCATGACCAGAATTCGGTCACAGTTTAGCACAGTGGTGACACGGTGAGCAATGACCAGCACTGTGCAGCCCCGGAAGGCTTCCTGGATTGTGCACTGGATGAGGGTGTCGGTCTCTGGATCAATGGAGGCTGTGGCTTCATCAATAAAGACGATCTGGTGGATACAAAATAGGGGTGAAGGCAGCCTCCCAGGGCCCCAGAGGCCTGGGCCTAGTCCTAGTTCTAACCCTAATTCACCAGGCCTCCATTTCCTTAGCTGCCAGATGAGGAAACTGAGTTGAAAACCCACTTTAAAGCTCTAATTATCTCTTGCACTATGGAGAGAATGATAGCTCTCATCCAAGAGCTAACTACATCTTAGTGACCAGAGAATTAAGTTCCCGGAAATGAAATGGGCCAGTGGCCAAGTGTGTGTGTGTGTGTGTGTGTGTGTGTGTGTGTTGCTTCTGCATGCAAAGCATGTTCTCTACCGCTGAACTACACCCCAACCCCCAGAGTCAACTGCTTGCTTTATCAATTGCCTTCCCATTTGTTTGAATTAAAGTAGATCTATGTTCCCCCCAAAGGGGGTCAAAAACACACACCAGGGAATATATGAGATGGTCTTAGCCAGTAAATGAGTAAGCATTCTTCTTAGTCTGACATTTTGGTGATGATTCATTAACAATATGCATTAGAAAACTAACTAGCACAGAAAACAATGTTTTCACAAATGTTACTGGTCAGGAGAAGGCCATTTTTGAAAAGAGCGTATCATCAGCAAATTATAAGACAGGTGGGTTGCAGATATGACAAAAATCAGAAAGACATGACTCAAATTTGGGAAGCAACACAGAGGAAGCAACTTCAGCACCAAGTGACTAAGTAACTGTGAAAGAAGGAACTGAGAAGTTAAGAAAGCGCTACAAACATATTGCAAATTCTGTAGCTGCCTCTCCTCCATGGAGAAGTTTCCACCATTTTCCACCACTTCTGCATGCAGCCCTTGGGGGAACTTTGAGATCTGAGACATGGAGGCAGGAGAGACCACATGTGGGTCACTGTGGGTGAGACTCGTGGGTCACACAACACAACAGGAAGAGAAAAATCTTACCCCTTCTGCAACTTTCTCCCCCACTGCAAGCCCCACTGAGATTTTTTTCTGCCGGTTCTGATGGTTTGCACCAACATTTTTTGCATTTATCATTAACTAACCATGGTGACTGTGAGTGTGTGCATACACCTGTGCATACCTGTACACATGTACATATATGTGTGAGTATGGAGGCATTGTATGTATGCACATAAAAGTGTGTGTGTGTGTGTGTGTGTGTGTGTGTGTGTTGCTTCACTTGTGAGAGACTTTGTTCCTGGATACCCCCGGTAATAAAATTATGGAAAAATATCTTGGAAACTTTGAGAAACACTGTTACATCAAACTTTTTAAAAAGGGTTGGGGATATAGCTCACAATGGGAAAGCCTGTGCTTTGTATGCATGAGGCCCTGGCTTCTCTCCCCAGCACCATAAAATAATTTTTTAAATGCCATTTTACCCCAGAGCAATTGTCCCTCTGACTCCTGATTCTAGTAAAGGCAAAAAGAATGTCTTGCAAACACCTTTCAAGGAGAATGTCCAGGAGGCAATTTTTAAATCAATGGGTTTCCAACCTTTTGCCTTCTTCTGAGAATAGAGCATTCTAACTTGGTTCCAGTCACCGCCATTGTAGCTTAGTTGTGGGACATCAGTGTAAGGGGGAGCCCAGACTGAGACTCTCCCCGCAACCATGCCTAGCCGCAACACAAACATGTGGAATGGCAATCAGCAAAACCAGGGGCCCTTTGGATTTCGGTGGAAAGAAAAAATAGCACCGTGACCGCTGTCCTGTGATAATGGAGGAGGGAGGAGTGCAGATTCCCACCCCACGTCACCTGCGGCTCCTCAAGGCCACTTTGTAGTGGCAGTCTCACCTTGGCTTCTTGAAGAAGGGCTCGAGCAATGCAGAGCAGCTGCCTCTCCCCCACGGAGAAGTTTCCACCATTTTCCACCACTTCTGCGTGCAGCCCTTGGAGGAACTTTGAGATCTGAGACATGGAGGCAGGAGAGACCACATGTGGGTCACCGTGGGTGAGACTCGGGGGCCACACAACACTCTCCATCGCTTTCTGTAACACTCCTCCGCTCTGCACTCCAGCCCCTGGTCTTGGTCCTCAGGAGCATGGGCTCGCTCTCATCTCAGGGCCTCTGCGTAGGCAAGCTCCTGGGCTGGGATGTTCTCTCAAAGACCTTTTCCTGGCTGCCCCCTCAGTATTTGGTCTCCACTCAACTGTCACATCCTTCAAGGTGTCTTGCCTGGCCAGCCTATCAAAGGGGGCTGCTCCCCATTGGATCCTATTAACTTCATGGCACTTGCTACTATCTGAAAGTATCTCTGTTTATTCTTTGTCTTTATCACCTGTGGGGTATAAACACCAGGAGGGCAAAGACCTTATCAGCTTTGTGTTTGCTGGTGAACCTAGAACAGAACACACTGTTGGTGACTGGGGCCATCAACCTTTGTTTAGGAATTCCAAGTCGCCTGGTGAGATTATTTAAACCATGACCGAAAGCAACAGCCTCCAGGATACCTAGTGAGGGGACCCCTCAAAAAACTGAGACCAAGACTTGGGCCTGGGGGCTACTTACAGTCTTGGTCAGGAATATCTTCTCCAAGACATCCCAGATCTGCTCGTCTGTGTGACGGTCAAAGGGATCTAGGTTGAATCTGTCATATGAGAGGAAGAACAAGGTTCAATGACCTCACCAACCTTGAGCACTTTATTTTATATACACAGTAAAAGACCAAGAATGGTTAGAATTGGATTATTGGGTTCAGAGAACTCGTCGAACAGCCTTGAGTGATCCTTCCTTATATCTCTCCAGCACCCACTCCCTCTGTAGACAGCAACCCCCAAGCTGTGTTAGGACACCCCCTCCTCTCCAGCCGTGGAGCCCATGTGTTTCAAGTGGGGGCCCCTGACCTGCCCCAGGGTGGAGCAAGCAACCCAAGCATCAGCCAATCAGCCCAGGGCAATCCCTGGACACCGATTTGTCCTGGCTTGGAAGGTAACCAATCAGAGCACACTTCAGGACTTTAAGGCAATCCCAGGAAGACAATCTTTCTCACCAGGATGAACAAGAGGCTGTAACCAACCTGCCTCGGGAAGAGGACACACAGAACCCCCTAGGGCCCTCAGGTGGACCTTACAAAAGAATCAAAGACAGAGCCAGGGGGAAACTGGGTCCTCGAATCCAGCCTTGGGTTTCTCAATATTATGAAGCAACAAACACCTTTTTTTGCTTAAGCCACTGGGTTTAATTGTTTTTGGTTTTTTGTGGTAAATATATGTAACATAATATTTGTCTTTTTAACCACCTGTAAGTGTACAATTCAGTGGCAGTAAACACATTAACAAAGTTGAATAATACTCTCTATACCCAGGACTTTTCCATCATCTACAACAAAAACTCAGTACACATTAACCAATTCCCCCTTTCCCTTCACCCCTGCCACACCTCCTAGTAACCTCTATTCTACTTTCTAGCTCTACGAATCTGCTTATTCCAGCTACCTCATATAAAGGAAATCATGTAGTATTGGTCTTTCTGTATCTGGCTTATTTCACTTATCACAGTGATTTCTAGGTCCATTCGTGTTGTAACATTATCAAAATTTCACTCTTTTTCAAGGCTGAGTACTATTCGGCTATATATATTCATACACCACATTTTGTTTATCTGTTGAAGAACACTTGAGTTATTTCCATCTTTTGGCTTTTGTGAATAATGCTGTTCTAAACCCGAGTATACAAGTATCTTTTCAAGTCTCTGTCCTCACCTCTTTCAGATATATAACTAGAAATGGTAAAAACACTAATTTGGATGACATTTGTGCCGGGGTTGACTTCCAGAAAGTGGAAGGCGTGAAACGGCTTGCTGAGAGATTGGGCTCCGTGTGCCCCACTCGCTGGCCTGCCTGGGTCCTTTCTCACTCCCTCACTGCCCAGAACATGCCCCCCGAGAAGAAGCACTTGCTAACAACCACCCCAAGGGCTTCACCCAGTGGGCCAGTGGTGAGGGAAGAGGGTAAGTCACGTCTGGACACAAAAGAACATGGTAGCCATGGTGCAGATCCTTGATGGGGACCAGATGCTGACCAATCCTATCAGGCTATACAAAATGGAAGCATGCCTTGTCTTCATTTAGGACATTATGGTTTACAACAGGCTCCTGTCTGAGGACCTCATTCAACCCCAAACCACACCTTAGTGAGGTGGACCAGGCAGGCCTGACTGGAGGAGAGTTCAGAGGCCCAGAAATTGAGGCGGTGCTAACATGAGGCAGGCAAGTGCCGGAATCCCCGTCCTGGGACTCTCCCCACGAGGCTGACCTCCACACCAGGCTGGCCTCCAGCCTAGCACTTGCCTGATGGTTCCCGAGAACAGGACCGGGTTGTTGAGAGCCACAGCCGAAGGGGCCCCAGCAAACTTCCAGCTGCCAGCAAACTTCCAGCTGCCAGCAAACTTCCAGCTGCCGGCTGATGATTGGCTCACAGCGGCCCCAGCAACATCTAGCTGATTGGCTCCTCTGCGGTGATGCTCATTGGGCTGTTTCCCTGCCCTTTCAGACCACGGAGCTGCTCATTGGGGGACTTTTTTGGCTCCGCCCACGTGACCCAGCCAATCGGCCTCAAGAGCAGGAGGATTATGGGAGGTGGGGAGAAGCTTGAGTGGGAGAGAGAGGCTTGTGGAAAGCCGGTGGTGGCAGTTGAGGCTCTGAGGGTTTTTCCTGAGAGGCTGTTTTGTTTGGCGTGTGTGGTTCTAAAAATAAAGTTAGTTTCTTTTGACAAGTGGCTCCTGATTGTGCCCAG